GGGAGGGAGGGGGGAGAGACAGAGAGAACCATATCGATGGGTTGCCCCCCCGCCACGCACCCCCGACCAGCGCCTGGGCTGCGGAGGCTGCAACCGAGGTACGTGTCCTTGACCGGAATTGAACCCGGGACCCTTCAGTCCGCAGGCCGACACTCTAACCACTGAGCCACCAGCCAGGACTTAAGTCCCCCACAATCTAGCCATGGTTGGGCCCCCCTTGGACACTCGCATGAGCGATGGGCCAGGTCAGCCTCTGGGCATTGACTGCCTGGTCTCAGCCGCCACACGGGCCACGCAGAGGGCATGCCCGGGCCACGATGGCCAGTGAGGGCTGGCTGAGCTGGCTGTGGTCTCAGCCCTGTCTTCTCGTCCCTCTGCTGAGCTGTCTGAGGGGAGGCCCCGGCTCCATCCTGCCGTGGAGCCCGGAGGCCAGCACCAGCACCGGGTGTGCGCAGAGCCGCATGGCGCTGCAGCCTCGCAGGGGCAGCTGGGGTGCGCAGGCGGCGGCCCTGGTGCGGCTGCGGGGAGCGGGCCTGGCACCCGGCGCTCACCCTGCGGGCGGGTCCTGCTCAGAGCAGCCAGGACAGTAGAAGGAATGAGCTCTACATGCCTTAAGCGTAAGGAAGTGTATCGTGTCACACCCCCGGCTCAGAGGTGGGGCGGCCAGCGGGACACGGTGGTTCCTGTGGCTCTGGGCCCCCCCTCGGATTGCAGCGGCAGCCAGGGTTGCAAACCCCAGGTGTGGACTGGCTTAGCGGGGGGCCCCCAGGCAGCCACAGCGTCCAGAGGAGCCCTGCTCAGAGCAGGGAGGGACCCTCAGGGCCTCGACTCCAGGGAGAAGCAACCCATAGCGGGCTTCGCGCACTGGGCTGCTTGTAGCTGAGCCCGTGCAGCACAGACCGTGAGGCTGCGAAGCCTGGAACGTGTGCCCTCTGGGCCTCGGCAGGAAATGTGTGCTACCCCCTGGCTGAGGTCCATCGGAGCCCAGGGCTGGGCCACCGGACGAGAATGCGATCTGGACACGGTCCTGTCTGCGGGCGCAGGCTCTGTGCTGTGCTGCGGGGGCCACGGGGACGGGTTCACTGTGGCTTTGGGTCCAATTCTCAGCCAGGCAGGGAGGTGGGCATGTCCGCAGCCTGGGACTTGCTGTGGGAAGTGGGAGGAAGAGACTAAATTTCTTAGAAAACAGGGGAAAGGGGTCACTCGGGTTCCTGAGGACAGGAGCTCTGCAGGGATGACCGCAGACCCAAGGATCCGGAGGAACATTTAAAGCCTGGTGACTGAACACGCGGGAAGGGTCCATCTCGGGAGGAGCTGTAGCTGCAGGTGGCGTGGCTTCATGGCCTGGGGCTGGGATGGAATGCGCTGCCCAGTAGGATGGCAGAGGCAGCGGCTGACTGACCTCTTCGGAGAGGACCAAGCTCCGCCCTCTGCGCCCCACAGTCGACCTCAGTGACCCGCCTGTGGCTCTGGCTTATGGGACACAGGAGGGAGTGTCACTCCGCAGCCCTGGGGCGGGTCCACCCTTAGCCCTGACCCCTCTTCCCTGAAAGCGTCCCTTCTCCAAGGGCCATCCCCCAGCTGGGGCCCTGGACAGAGAGAACAGACCACAGCTGCTATGCCACCAGGAAAGGGAGTGAGGATTAGCTTGGTGTTTGGTAAGCCAAGAAAGCTGCGTTAA